CCCCTTGGATTGGAAAATAACTAATCGTTGCTACCTAGTAGACTCTAATGGATTTCGGAGTAGATCTTGATAATCATAATTCACCTAAGTTAATTTGAAAGAGTTTCAGGCAACAAATTTGAAACATACCAAGTAGTATAAAACAATCCTATCATCGTTGTGATCCATGCAACAACCAACTAGAGGTGAAACCAGAAATTTTAATAAGATGCTAAAGATTTAATATATATATATATATATATATATATATATATATATATATATATATGCATAAAAAATAATTTTTGACCTATATATACGCTATAATTTTCTGTGTATACAATATAATTTTCCAAACGAAGTGTATTCAATTGACCATCCTTCCGTCTATATGGCTGCCGCCATTGCGTTCAACTAGAATCTTGTCTAACATAACTCTTCGGCTCACTGCACTTGATGCTTGGCAAACCTTAAAAGTCATTTTAACATCAATCTACTACAATTTCAAGTACTACATGTAATATTAAAAACTTCACTTTCAAAATGTTGAAAAAAGGGCAACCTGTCAATTCATGCTTGAATGGCTAATCAAGACGAGAATTGTCACGACCCGGATTTCCCACCTTCGGGAGTCTTGATGGCGCCTACTCGTAAAAGCTAGGCAAGCCACACATTTAGAATCCATAATACTTTTGTTTTAAATCTATGTTTACCAATTAAACTAACAGGAGATAAATAATAAAACAACAGCGGAATTCATAATTTAGCGGAAGACTTAAACGGAGTAAACCAAAATAATAAGGAAAATTCACATATGCCTCTACTCAGGACTGGTGTCACAACATTCACGGACCGTCTAAGATTTCTACAAATAAGTGTTTGAAAGAAAAGAACATAGTCTGTCTCGAGTACAAATGACAACAGAACATAAAAACTGAAAGAGGAGACGTCGGGCCTGCGAACGCCAACAGGGCTACCTCGGAGTCTCGGACTGAAGGATAGCTCCCAATCTACTGCAGATGACCAAATGCTACTCCGGAACCTGGATCTGTGCAAAAGAGCACAGAGTGTAGTATCAGCACAACCGACCCCATGTGCTGGTAGGTGCCTAGCCTAACCTCGGCGAAGTAGTGACGAGGCTAGACTAGACTACCACATAAACCTATACAATTATATAATATACAACGGAAATAAAGCAGAAATAAACAAGTACGGATGAGAGGGGGAAACATGTTGCGGGGAGATAACAGTCCCGAATAAAGTATCAAGTAAGGAAAGGAACAAATAGCTACAATGTCAACAAGAAGCAGAAATCAAACAAGTGCACGGCATCACCCTTCGTGCTTTTACTCTCGTCCTCACCAAGCAATAATATAATGAAAACGTGCACGGTATCACCCTTCGTGCTTTTACTCTCTTTCCTCACTAAAGCAATTAGAATAATATAATGTGCACGGCATCACCCTTCGTGCTTTTACTCTCTTTCCTCACATATAATCAATAAAATGGGCACGGAATGGTACATCGTGCGGCACGGCATCACCCTTCGTGCTTTACACTCTTTCCTCACCAAAGCAAACAATGCACGACATCACCCTCCGTGCTTTAACACTCATCCTCACCCAAACAACAATCACAAACAAGGGCAAGGGAAAATAAACAAGAACATATAGGAATCCCGGCAAGGGAGCAACAATTAAATAATTAAATCCCGGCAAGGGAACAACAATTAAGTAATTAATCCCGGCAAGGGAACATTTCAATAACTCTTTCTCTATCTTTCAATTTTACTTCATAACTCGCTTTACCACTTGAGCCAATGCTCCAAAGGGTTCAATCATCTCATATACTTTCACAATTCACAATATAACTCGAGCCAATGCTCCAAGATGTTCAAAGGTCTTAATTCTTTCCACAAACCTTTTCACAACAACTAAAAATCATCACCAAAGCATGAAGAATACAATGAAATCAAGATATTCACAATATAAAGACTCACGATCATGCTAGACACCAACGTATAGATACTCGTCACCATGCCTATACGTCATACTCAACAATTTTCGCATAGCAAATAGGACTCAACTCCTAATCCCTCAAGCTAAGGTTAGACCAAACGCTTACCTCGATGCCTTGAACACAACTCAAGTCTCAATTATAGCTTTACCCCTCGATTCCACCGTCAATTCGCTCGTATCTAATCACAAATGACTTAATTACATTAATAAACACTAAATGAATCAACCCCAATGCATGAAAATGAGCTTTCCAAAGTTTTACCCAAAAAGTCAAAAATCGCCCCCGGGCCCACGTGGTCAAAACCCGAGGTTCGAACCAAAATCCGATTACCCATTCCCCCAAGAACTCAAATATATAATTTGTTTTGAAATCGGACCTCAAATTGAGGTCCAAATCTCCAATTTTTGAAAAACCTAGGTTCTACCCAAAACACCCAATTTTCCCCATGAAAATCTTTGATTTTAAGTTGAAATCATGTTAAAAGATGTTAAGAAGTGAAGAAAATGAGTTAGAAATCACTTACCAACGTTTTGGAGAAGAAAGGTTGTTTGAAAAATCGCCTCTTATGTTTTTAGGATTTTGAAAAGTGAAAAATGACTGAAAATCCCGTTTATTTATACCCCTCTGAGACTCCCAGTGCGGACCGCATTAAATGGACCGCGGCTGCACAGGCTTACCTGAAGACCTGCAGTTCAGCACCCTGTGCGGACCGCACAAAGCCGACTGCGGCCACACAGCCTTCACCGCGCCCCGCACAAAGGCGACCGCGGCCGCGCTGGCCCCTCCGCGGTCGCGCGCGGTTTCTCGCGGACCCCGTTAGAGGGTTCAGAGACCTGCAACTCCTGAACCTGCAACATCTGATTTTCTAAGCCTAAGGCATCCCGGAACCCACTCGAAACTCATCCGAGCCCTCGGGGCTCCAAACCAAATATGCACACAACCTCAAAACATCCTACGGACTTATTCGTGCGATCAAATCGCCAAAATAACATCATAAACATTGAATTAAACCTCAAAATCCATGAATTCTTTCAAACTTCAGAAAACATCAAATTTCCCAATTTAGGTCTGAATCACGTCAAACGACGTCCGTTTCTTACCAAACTTCACAGGAAGGACGTAAAACATATATAAGACCTGTACCGGGCGCCGGAACCAAAATACGGGCCCGATACCATCGCTTTCTAATCAGATTTCATTTTCAATTTCCTTAAACAATTTCAGAAAACAATTTTTACTAAAAAATTCATTTCTCGGGCTTGGGACCTCGGAATTCGATTCCGAGCATACGCCCACGTCCCATATTTTCCTGCGGACCCTCCGGGACTGTCAAATCACAGGTCTGGGTCCGTTTACCCAAAACGTTGACCAAGGTCAAATTTATTTACTTTAGCATCAAAATTTAGCATTTTTCACAAAATTTCATATTTAAGCTTTCCGGCTACACGCCCGGACTGCGCATGCAAATTGAGGGGACTCTAAATGAGGTTTTTAAGGCCTCGAAGTCATAGAATTTAGTTAAAAATAGGTGATGACCCTTTTGGGTCGTCACATTCTCCACCTCTAAAACAACCGTTCGTCCTCGAACGGACAGAAGAAAGAAGTACCTGAGTCGGGGAAAAGATGAGGATAAGGGCTCCGCATGTCGGACTCGGAGTCGCAGTTCGATGCTTCAGGAGGCTGACCTCTCCATTGAACACGAACAGAAGGGAAACTCTTGGATCTTAACTGACGAACCTGCCGGTCTAGAATAGCTACCGGCTCCTCCTCATAAGACAGGTCCTTGTCCAACTGGACAGTGCTGAAATCTAACACGTGGGCTGGATCGCCGTGATACCTCCAAAGCATGGACACATGAAACACTGGATGCACGACTGATAAGCTCGGCGGCAATGCAAGTCTATAAGCCACCTCTCCCACTCGATCAAGGATCTCAAACGGACCAATGAACCTAGGGCTAAGCTTGCCCTTCTTCCCAAATCTCATCACGCCCATCATAGGCGACACTCGGAGCAATACCCGCTCACCGACCATGAATGCCATATCTCGAACCTTGCGGTCTGCATAGCTCTTTTGCCTGGACTGAGCTGAACGAAGTCTATCCTGAATG